GCAACATTTTCAGATTTTCCATCCTTGGCCCCGATTGCTTTGTCAAAACTTTTGGGAATATTTAGGATCAATTTTGGTCATAATAATCTGTAAATTATATTTTATAAATTTGGTAGTTTGGGGTTTGTTTCAAGGGAGATGTTACACTTGTAATTATAAAATCTTATATTGCTGCATTCTAAAAATACAGAGTTCTATCAGGTTTTGTGGTAAGCTAATTAATCAAACATTGTATTTACATAATACATTTGATCAAACATGTATTATTTAATGACATGAGAACTTTCAACAAAAAGATAGCATGTATTTTAACTTAAGATTCATATCTTGCTAGCATATTTGCTACATACCTTGTTAGTCGTTGGGATAATGAACATTTGAAGACGGAAAGAAAAGATGTTGGCAATCTTCCTTTAAAAACACAACACCACAAGCGTGTAATACAATTGTCTATAATTATGGGATTTAGAGTGTAACATGTCTAGTATCTATTCACAATCAATGGCTTTGTATTTATGACATTAAAGAGGTAAATCATTATATTTAATAAAAATATTAATAATTTAATTGGAATTAAATTGAATAAAATATTAGAATTAAATTAATTTAAGTGCATTGAATGAAAAATTAAATTATATTTAAAAACATTGATTGTTAAATAAATAAAATTTTCAAATATTTAGAAAGAACAAATAAAATTGAATGAAGCCATTAATGAAATAAAACTTTATTATTTTATTAAAGCATTATTTCATTGTAAACAACATACTTTTAACTTTAAGAAAAAAATATGATATTTATTAGTCCAATGTTAAACTTATATTAAGGTGGTGTTTGGTTAAAGATATTAAGTAGTGATTAATGAGAATGAAAATAAAAGGAAACTATTTGCTTTTATATAATTTGATTTGTTTTCCAATCTAGCAATTTAGGCAATGGAGGCGGATGCACAAGAAGTATTCAAACTTCCATTGTCACGGAATCAAGCCGAAATATTGTAATCTGATAAGGTACATCTGTTAACTTTGTGAATAACAATTTTAAGTTCTATATTTATAAAATAAAATCACCGCAACTATTTTTGCCTAAATTCATAAATAAAAGGTAAATGTTGGTTTTTATTTTTCAATATATAATTATTTTAATTATCAACCATCAACATTCCCTTTATTTATTTAATCTATCTTCGAATGTGGGCTTTGCATTAAAAATTTTAAAATTGATGCCAAACAATTGCATGAAGATTAAAATTAAGTTTTGTGATAAAATTTGATGGAAAAGTGGTTATCACCACATTTATTGAACCTTTATGTTCTAAAGTGTATGTTCTTATTATTACAATATTGATATTTCAATTTCTCTAAAAAAATTACTATAGGAAAAGATAAACTAATTTAAAACTTAAGATTGGTTGGTTATCTTCTCTTATTCTTCATCTACAAATAAAATTGGCCATATTTTTAGTAATTATGAATGTTGTGATTATATTAATTACCAAAGCTAAATTCAATATAATACACTTATCATTATTTGTGTATATCTTAATAAAAAAAATTAAACATGTTTGATCTTATCAGAAAACTCTGCAACTCCTTGGAATTTTGGTAAACCGAATCACACTTGTGGACAATGTGGTGTCATCATGTGGTACGAAGAAAGATCTTGAAAGGACAGAAAAACATCTAATCCAAAGTTTATGAGTTGTTGCTCGGAGGGACGCGTCCAACTACCATTTCTTCCCTAACACCACAAACACTTGATTACCTTCTTTCCTTAGAATCTAGGAAAAAAGGTGTCAATTTCCGAAAAGAGATAAGAGCTTACAATTCAATGTTCGCATTCACTTCGCTTGGATGTCGTGTGGATTCCAAGATTAATTGTGCGAAAGGTTCCTACATCTACAGAGTTAGTGGCCAAAATTATCATAGGATTGGTTCTTTGTTACCAGAAATTGAGAAGAAACCTCAATTCGCGCAACTATATATCTACGACACTGAAAATGAGACAAATAACATAATTGAGAAGGCAATTTGGAGTTGACGGCCTTGATCTTCAAATTACACAGGATCTATCTACAATATTAGAAGAACACAACGTGTTAGTACATTCATTTCGCATGGCAAGAGACAGATATATGTGTGAACTGAATATTGTTTTTCGATTAGGGATCATAAACAGTCCCACAACGGATGGCCGACAATACAATCTACCTAGTGCTATTGAAGTTGCAGGCTTGATTGTTGGTGACCTGAGCGAAAACAATTTCGAGCGTGATGTTATTGTTGAACATCGTACAACTGGACTTCAACGGATTACTGATCTCCATCCGTCTTTTATGTCGATGACATACCCGTTAATACATCCTTACGGTGAAGATGGGTTCAGGGAAAATATATTACTCCAAAACATGGACGGATCTTCTTCAAAGAGACAACTTGTAACAATGCGACAATACTATTGTTTTCATTTGCAACAACGATCAAACGAGGGCCATACTTTTCTTCGTGCAGGTAGGCTTCTTCAACAATACATTGTCGGTGCTTATATGACGATTGAAGAAGGCAGATTTCGGTAGATTCATAATATTCAAGATCAATTACGAACAGATTTATTTTCTGGGTTGATGGATGCCATAAATCGTGGTGACACAGATGAAAAAAAAATCGAAAAGTCAATAATATTACCCTCATCACATATCGGTAGTCCAAGGTACAGAGTTCAAAATTACCAAGATGTCATGGCAATATGCAAGTGGGCTAGGTACCTGGATATTTTCCTGACATTTTACTTGCAACCCCAAATGGCTGGAGATAAATAAAATGCTCCACTTAATGGAACAAGAAGATGATCCAAATTGGGTTGACATTGTAAGCAGGGTTTTCGAAATAAAGCTCAAACAGTTGATGATGGACTTAAAAACAGGAAAACCATTCGAACGGTAATTGCATGTAAGTATGAACTGTTTACTAAAAGTTGTCATTTTGTCTAACATGCAATTAAACTTTCTCATTTGCATGTATTTTTTTCATTATGCATAACAAACAACCATGTCTTTCTTTTACCAAGGTTTATATACCATTGAGTTTCAAAGGAGAGGTCTTCCTCATGCACACATATTACTTTTCTTGGAGTCGTCAACAGATCGTATTGACAAATCATTACAGCCAAGATTCCAAATCAAAGTATCGATCCAAATCAAAGTATCGATCCAGGTGGGTTTAACGCAGTAACCAAATTCATGATTCATGGGCCATGCAGAGATCTCTATCCATCATCCCCGTGTATGTTACAGAGCAAATGCTCTAAGCATTTTCCTAAAAAATTTGTCCTACACACAATAAGTGATCAAGCTGGATTTCCAATATACAGAAGAAGAGATACAGGAGCTTTTGTGGAGAAGAAAACACATAAGTTGGACAATCGATATGTCGTACCTCAAAACAGATATCTGATTGTTAAATTCGATGCTCATATCAATGTTGAGCTTTGTAATCATTCGAGAGCCATGAAGTACCTATTCAAGTACATACATAAGGGTTCTGATAGAGCTACTGCTACAATTTATTCAACAAGCCCGGATGATGACCATGATGAAATAAAGACATATTTAGATTGTAGATACATTTCGGCTGTTGAAGCATGTTGGCGTATTTTCTAATACGATATTCATTTCAGATATCCAGTAGTGGAGCGTTTACCTTTCTATCTTCTAGAATGGCTCAAAACCAACAAAAGAAATCCCGATGCCAGAGAACTTAGTTTCTCAATATTCCCAAAACACTGGGTCTGGAATGCAAGAGATAAAATACCGACAAGACGTAAAAATGGCATATCAATTGGCAGAATATACTTCACTCATCCGTCATCCGGAGAAAGGTTTTAAATGCTCATGCTTTTAAACATTGTAAAATGATGCACTTCGTACGAATACATTCAAACAGTGAATGGATCACATATCCTTCTTTCAAGGGAACTTGCTATGCTCTTGGATTGTTAAATGATGATGATGAATGGGTTGATTGCTTGACAGAGGCAGCAAATTGGGCAACTAGTCACGAGTTGCGACATTTATTTGTCATAATCCTTGCAAATTGCCAAGTCTCAAATGCACCAAGTCTTTGGAAAAGAAATTACGCAGCATTGTCGGAAGATATGGCAACACTACAACGTAAAAAATACAAAGCACACGACATGCAACAAACGGATGATCAAATTGAAGCTCACACATTGTTCAAGATCGAGGCAATCATGTTGAAAATGGGAAAAAGTTTAATATATGGAATGTCACTCCCAAATACCGAACTTTTACGAAAATTTCGTAACAGATTGGTCAATGAAGAGCTTGACTATTGTACCCAGGATTTGAAGGTTGCTCATGAAATTGCATTTTCCAGTCTCAATACTTGTTAGAGAAGAGCTTATGATGTCATTCTTGCATCGGTGTACAATGATCGAGGTGACTTGATTTTCATTCACGGTCGTGGAGGAACGGGGAAAAATTTTCTTTTGAATACAGTCGTATCAAGACTTAGATTAGAAGGAAATATAGTATTACCAGTTGCTACTTCAGGCATTGTAGCTTTGTTACTACCAAATGGAAGAACGACTCATTCAAGATTCCGAATCCCATTGGATTTTAATTGTAGAGTCAACTTGCAAAATTTGTCACGGCACACATATAGCTGAGTTACTTCAACAAACGACATTGATTATTTGGGATGAAGCCCCTATGGCACATAAACATTCCTTTGAAGCATTGGATAAAAGTTTGCGTGACATAATGAGTTGTCGTTATGAAAATAGTAAAGACAAATCATTTGATGGACTCACAGTTGCTTGTGGTGGTGACTTTCGGCAAATTTTGCCAGTAATACCAAAGGGAAATCAATTCGACATTGTGAATGCCGCACTAAATTCATCTTATTTGTGGCCTTTGTTCAAAGTATACGAGCTCAATGAGAATATACGTTAGCAATGCAACATTTTGTCACCCTTCAGATATGATAAATATTAAGGTGTTTGACTCATGGATGTTACAAATCAGAAATGACACTGCCTACGATGATGTAACAAATGAATTGCTAAAGTTGCCCGCTGGCATCTTCCCAGAAACAGTTGGCAACCCGATTGAATCAGTGGTTGAAATGATATATCATTCTCTCTTGAAAAACTGTAATAGTCCTTCATATATAACTGAAAGGGTAATTCTCATGCCAAAAAATGATATGGTCCAAGAATTGAACACATTTATCATGGACATGCTTCCAGGAGAAGGAAAAACATATCTAAGTTCAGACACGATTTGCAAAGGAAGTGTACAAACAAATGATGAAGACCTCATTTATCCAACTGATCTTAAAGAGTTTGCAATTCAATGGCGTTCCAAATCACGAGATTCAGCTAAAGGTAGGATCCCCAATTATGTTATTACGCAACATCAATCAAACAGAAGGATTGCGCAATGGAACACGATTGTTTGTCACATTACTTGGTACATGGTCTGTTAGAGGTGACATTATTTCAGGAACTAATAAAGGAAAAAGTGTCACTATTCCAAGTATAATAAAGTCGCCCAACGAATCAAAATGGCCATTCAAGCTTAATCGACGTCAAATACCGTTGGTCCATGCTTTGCTATGACAATTAATAAAAGCCAGGGACAATCTTTAAGTCGTGTTGGCCAATACCTCCGGAAACAGGTACACTTCTCAATTTTCTTATATTAACATATTTAAATATATACTTATATTCACATATAATTGCACAATATTCTAATTTATAGGTTTTCACACATGGACAACTATGTGTGGCTATTTCACGAGTGACATCGCATGAAGGATTAACCATAATAAAAGCTGATGAAGAAATGGAACACCATACACTCATAAAAAACATTGTCTACCATGAAGTGTTCAATAACATTCATCCATCCACCGAGTAGATAAGGTAATATTTTACTAAGTTTATATATTCATATTCTCTAAATTCCAACTTTTATTATTTCTTCTCGTATTTATTATGATTCTCTCTAACGCCTATAATGGTTAATGCAATTCTATTCCACATCGTATACAAGAAAATCTTCATAAAAAGCTTCATCAAGGATTAGAATATATTGAAGATAGAGATGAATGATAAACGATTGAGTAAGCATAGAAGAAGAGGCTTCGACTACTGGCCAAGTTGAACCATGTGCATAGGGGATCTATGTACGTTATTTTGATTTATCTAATCTATTTCTTTATATATTAGAATGATTTTATTTTAGTTATTGTTTTCTGATATGAAAGATGTTTTGTACTTACAATACCGCACAACGCACGGTTCTCATACTAGTTTATTTAATTAATAAACCCTAACGAAATTAAATTAATCAAGCACTTAATTAATTTAAAAATCAAACTTGTTGGGCTTTTTAAGACAAAAGAAATAAATTTATAATTATTTGGATCATCCTAAACCCCAATCGGATCAGGCCCAATACCCCTTATCTGCCCTAGACTCATTCCCTGCCGGATTGTCGTCGGAGGTTGCTAACGCCGTTTTTCCGGCAACTTTGTCGATTTTCCGGCTATCTTCTTGTTTTGGCCGTGTGGCTTCGTTTTTCATCCGTTTTTGATGATCTTTTTTTCTAAATTTTAGTTTTGATTCCTCATCTTCTAGAAACAAGAATCACTCAAAAATATCGAGTTTTGAGGGAGAAATTCCAGTTTAAAGTTTTAGTTTTTACCGAAAATGATAATTTCAACATTTTGATCGATTTAACAACCGTCCGACTATTCAATCGGCTTCAAAATGTATGGGTTTACCTTTACCCATTCCTAACGTTCCCATATAGTTATTTTCGAGAGTTATAGGGAATACGTAACTTAACATGGAGGATCACTACCGAAAACGAGTCAAATTACGAGCGCTTCAAGACTCCTCCTCGTGGCACCGTTTGTCAGTTTTCCAACGCCAAAATCTTCCAAAATGTCGRCCCCCCCCCCCCAAAGTTCCAGGCGACTCATATGTGGTCAAATTTTTCAAAAATTATGGAAGGAAAAATCTCCATTAATGCCATTAATCCCTTCCACTTTTCACTTCAACAATTTTTTTAAATAATTATTCTTTCCATTAATACTCACTAAAATATAAAAGATTCACCATACATTAATATTTCTATTTAATATCCACCAAAATAAAAATGCTCTATATTTTAATATCTCCATAAAAATAATACCCTAAAAATTATTCTACTAATATTCAAAATTCATTAAAATTTCGAGTGTTGCAACAACTCCTTCCAACCAGACTTTGTGATAACATAGAACAAAATGGCAGAAAAGTTTTTGAAAAARTATTTTCCACCCACGAGGAATGCCAAGTCCAAAAATGAATCTATACTTTTAGACAACTAGAGGATGAAGTAGTTCCTAATGCATGTGATATGTATAAAGAGCTGGTAGGAAAATTCCCTCACCATGGCATTCCATACTGTATATAGATACAGCCTTTTACAATGGTTTATATACTGTTGCTAGACAATGCTCGATGCTACTACATAGCTTTCAAAGCTTGCGCCTATAATGAAGGTTTTGAGATACTTGAAAAGATTTCTAACGATAACGGACAATGGTCCGATCTATGTGCATTATCACTGAAAAACAGTTGGGGTACATGAGGTAGATGTTGTTTCAACATTAACAAGATCACTAAGCTGATTTCAAATCTGACATCTAGTCCACATGTGCAATCTGATGCTAACATCTTTAATCCTAATGTTCAATATGTGCAATGTGTGTATTGTAGTGCAGGGCACTCGTTTGAGAATTATCTTGGAAATCCTAAACCAGTAAATTTTGTCAACAAGACTAGACCATTTTCACACACTTACAATCATCGATGGCGCAATCATCCAAGTTTCCTGGCATAGTCCAGCTCTTAACCCACCAATGCCAAAACAACAAGGACAGTCTAATTTTCAGCCACATGGACAGTCCAATTTTCAACAACAAGGTCAATGTAATTTTCACTAACAATCACACCAAGGAACTCATAATAACTAGCAGGCAAAATTTTCAAACTCAAAATCATCAGCCTTCTTTCCAAAACAAGTCCGAACAACATGACGAATCATTTACTTCCTTGGAAGCAATGATGAAAGGGATTATGACCCAAACTCAGGCATCAATTAAAAATCTTGAACTTAAGTGAGGCAAATGGATTTGGAAATGAGAAAACGACCAATAGGTTCTCTACCTAGTGATACAGAGACACCTTAGAGAGAAGGAAAATAGCATGTTAATGTTGTTACCTTGAGGAGTGGAAAGACTTCAATAGAAAATACCCAAAAAGAAAAAAAAAGAACCAAGCAAAGTAGAGCCTGAAAAGAAAACCATGGTACCAGATTCTCTTACCCCAATACCAACTCTGTTACTACCATCCCTATGAAGCATTCTTGTAGTATTAGTGAGCCCGAAATACTAGTTATGCCCATTGATATTACAACCATTCCAAAAAGATCTGAATTTCCATTACTATTTTCTAATGAACTCGTGGAAGTCCAAACACCCAAGGAAAGAATTGTAATTGATATGTCACAATCTAGTTGCAATCATACAATATCTGCCTAGACTAGACCTATAATTCCTTGTAGAACTAAATTAGAAGCCATAGTAGAACCCATTTTGAAACCCATTCTAGCACCTATTATTCAAAAGACTACTTCTCCAACTACAGTCACTCCTTACATTCCTTACCCTCAAAGGTTAAGGAATCAAAAGGAAGAATTATAATTAAGAAAATTTCTTCATATTTATACAGTTACAATAAACATACCTTTATTGAGGCTGTTGAGCAAATGCCAAGTTATACAAAGTCTCTAAAAGACATTTTGAGTAAAAAGAAAAAACTGACTGAGTATGAGACAGTAGCTCTGGGTGAAGGATATAGTGCTCTGTTGATCCAGTAAAATCCCTCCCAAGCTTAAAGATGTATGAAGCTTTAATCCCTTGTTCAATAAAAGGACAAAAATAGGAAAATCCCTATGTGACTTAGGTGCTAGTATAAACTTATGCCTTTATATGTCTTTAACACTTTAGACATAGGTAAAGCTAGACCCACGACTTTAAATCTACAATTAGCTGATAAGTCTATAGTCTATCCTAAAGGAAAGATGGAGGATGTCATAGTTCAGGTTGATAAGTTTATTTTTCCAGCTAATTTTATCATCTTAAACTTTAAAGAAAACAAAGACATTCCCATTATCTTAAGATGACCTTTCCTAGCTATTGGAAGAACCTTGATAGATGTACAGAGGGGAACGTTGACCATAAGAGTCCAAGTTCAACAAGTGACTTTTATTGTTTTTAATTTCCTTGGGTACCCTAAAGAAAGAAAAGAATGTTCTACCTTAAGCATGATTGAATCCCGGTGTTAAGAGAAAAGTTTGAGGGAAATCCTAGGCTTACTGAGTCTGATAGTGATGTAGAAGAAGACTTTGAGGAAGTAGAAGCACCACAAGATTTTGGTTTTTAGAGACTGAAGATAGGAAAACCCTTGTCCTTTCCTTAGATGTTGCACCAGACCTAAAGCTGAAACAACTTCCCTCACATTTGAAATATGCCTTTTTAGGAGATTCAGGGAAGTTACTGTTCATAATTTCATCATCTTTAGAAGCTGGCCAAGAAGAAAAGTTGGTTGACATGTTGAAACTACATACAAAATCCATAGGATGGACCATTATTGATCTCAAGGGAATAAGCCCAATGGAAAATACCAAAAAGTTTGAATTCATTGTAAATCTTAATGTATGAAAACCGCAACTACATTTTCATTTTTATGCATTTTAGAAGATAAAAATTTCAACTCCATTGAGCCTCAAAGAAGACTGAACACGGTTATAAAGGAGGTGTCAAAAAGAAAATTTTAAAATAGATTGATGTTGGCATAATTTATACTATTGCTAGTACTACTTGTCTAAGTCCTGTGCAATGTGCACCCAAAAAGGGTGGAGTTCTTTTTGTATTTATACCTACTAGAACAATAATTGGCTAGCGGATATGTATGGACTATAGAAGGATTAACAAAGCCACTAAAAAAGACCATTTCTCATTACCCTTCATTGACCAAATGTTAAACAGACTAGCAGGAAAAGAGTTTTATTGTTTCTTTGATGGCTACTCTGGTTACAATCAAATTTCCATAACACTGGATGATCAGTAAAAGACCACTTTCACATGTTCATATGGAAATTTTTCTTTTAGAAGAATGCCTTTTGGGACTTTGTAATGCTCCTGCACATTCCAACGGTGTATGATGTCTATTTTTTCTGACATGTTGGATCACTCCATGGAAATTTTCATGGATGATTTTTCAGTTTATGAGACATTATATGACCTGTGTTTACAAAATCTTGAAAAAAATCTTAAAAGTTGTGAAGAAACAGATTGGTTTTAAACTAGAAAAAATGTCACTTTATGGTAAAAAAGGCATTGAAGTTGATAAAAAAAAGTTAGAAATAATTCAGAAATTACCTAAACCAACAACTGTAAAAAAGGATCAGAAGTTTTTTTAGGATATGCAGGTTTGTATAGGAGATTTATTAAAGATTTTTAAAAAATATCAAAACCTCTTTGTTTATTATTACAGCATGACCAGGTTTTCAATTTTAATGACGATTGTAGAAAAGTTTTCAGCATTTAAAAGAAGCATTGGTCACTGCTCTAGTAGTAATAACACCTGATTGGTCCAAACCTTTTGAAATAATGTGTGATGCAAGTGACTAGGTAGTAAGTGCAGTATTAGGCCTACAGAGAGAAAAAAAATATTCCACCATGTTTATTATGCAAGCAAAACTCTCAATGATGCTCAAATCAATTACACCACTACTAAAAAGTAATTATTAACTGTGGTTTTTTACTTTTGAAAAATTCATATTTACTTGATGGGCACCAAAGT